TTTTATCAACATCGAGATGCTACTACACAGAAAACACCTTTACAACAGAGGCAAGAACTTGCCCCATGGGAAACAGAAAATGTTAGCAGCACAGGACACACTACTAGAAGATCATAGCATGATTTTTTCACAACAGGTCATGGCTTCATCTATGACAGCAAACTGGTCCTTTCTGTGGTCTACTGGGAGCACTTTCTGTCCACTTTCAATAATTGGGCCTGAATTAAGAAATTAATGGATTAGACATTTGCAGAAAGATTGTTTAAATGGGATGGACTACTCTAGCCTAGTAAAAGTCAATTTCCCATAAAGACATCTAGTCAAAAGCATCAGAGAGAAAATCTCTCCCTTGAATCCCAGGGATTGTTACTGAAATCTGGAGTAGCAATTCATAACAATTTATAGTAAAGTCTACATCATGTTCCCAATGTTTGTCTCACATGGCCTCTATTTTCTGTATCTATTTCTTTCCCCTATCTCTCACCCCCTTTTATCTGACACTATACAATTTCACTTCTCTCAAGTTCCTTTCCTAAGTTAGGATTTGGCACTTAAAATAGGAATTTTCTATTTCTCCTTTTCATCTATTGATTCTCTTGATACTTCTTTTTATTTTGCAGGTGGTCTTCTCAAAGCAACAGCTAACAACATCCAAGAGCTAATGTCCACAGGATAACTCTTTTCCTACTGCCCTTAAAATCCACTCTCAGTGCTGGGTGGTCCCTCCCGCTCTAGGCAGTAACACAAAGTATTAACACTCAGCTTCTGAAAATGTTCTCTTTAAGATATAGTTTGAGATGATGCCTATTTCCATTAATAAATATCTCATCATGCTTAGTGTGTTGGGTGAGTAAACCCCACACTGGCAGAGAAATGTGTCAGACTGAGTCTAATCAGAGCTTAGGTAACTGTTTTAGCTGCACCTCCCTGTGGGCAGAGAACAGAGTCAGTGGGCACACCTCCACGCATGCTGGAAAAGGGTCTGGGAAGGGAGCCAGGACAGCAAGGAGCCCAGCTGTGTTACGCTTTTGGTGTTGGTTTGGAGAAAGAGCAAGGGATCAAGACACCATAGTGTCTTGAGAAAAAAATGAGAAAATGAGAAAGCTGGAGATACACCAAGGAGACATGGGAAATTCAAGCCCAGAGCAGGATTTTTTAATATAGTGATTGTGCCTGGAAATTTCTGGAGGGGGCCTCCTGACAAAACCTTGTGGTTCTGAAAGGAGGAACAGACAGAAGAAAGCCAAGATGTGCTACTTAGAAAGTCATGTTACACATCAGTTGGGAATTTGTACGTCCGGTTTGAAATATTGAAGACAACTGGTACCTGGAAGAGGTGTAACTAAATGCCAGTAGACAAAGGAAGCAGCAGATCAGTGAAAGGCCTGATGGAGAATTCAGGAAGAAAGACACTCAGATGTCAGCAAAAATCTCTGATATCAGACCAAACCAGGAGGATGGGTCAGATCATGAGTTAGCTCTTCACAAATGGTAGAGAAGAAACTTTGCCATTTAGATGATGTATGTGTGGTTACCATATGCACATGCTATATATAACACACCATATATAAATGACTATATAGCTGGATACACAGTTAATATTTTAAAATTATTTTATTCTGGAAATATATTGCTATGTGCCATAACACAAGATTCTCTATATTCATAGAATGATGCCATTATAAAAGTATTGAACAAACATTGAACAAAACCGCACACCTTTGAGAGCAATTCATAGCAGTAGGGTATGACCAAGATCAGTACTCAGGGCCATGATTTTATTCATGCTCGTGGAAAATACAGGGTAAATCTTCTGTGCTCAGTGGCACTGCTCCTACATGAGGCTTCCAGGGAAGAGATCAATTTGTGGGCTGAAGTCGTTCAGTTTGAATGCTGTATTTCTACAGACATTTACTATTAATGGAAGCAGTCTGAGACCGTAACAGCCCCATGCTTTCGTGTACTGAGTGTGCTGACACTGTAGGTTACAATGGATCAGCATTATAGTATGGAAGGTGGGAGGAGAACAAGGTAAGAGGTTAAGATTTTGAAACCATGAACACTGTAGATGGCCAGCACAATTGGAGTATTGCCTTCTTACCGAGAAACTGTCTAAGCTACTGCTTTGGCTAGATGAGCCAGATTAACTCATGACAGATGAGCTTCATGAACATTTCATTGCCAAGGAACCCTGTCAAAATATTGGTGATTTCTTCGAATCTGTTCAACATCATGGAGATGTCAAACGAAATCTGAAAGGACATTATTTTTCAGGAAGAACAAAAACAATGAAAGCGTATGAAGAGAATGAGCTGAGATTTTTTTTCCTCCTCCCCTACAGATTGCTTTGGTTTGATTGACTGCTGTCCTTGCAAATACTTTAGCATATCCCCAAAACTCTTACTCCCATAGATGTTGGTTAATTGAATAAAGTATGGGGTGTGGGATGTCCTCCAAGAATGCATCACCATGTCTCAGCAACCAGGTTTGAAAACTGGTAACGTATTCTTACCTATGTGCAGGCACTGCGCAATCTCACCAAGTAATCCAATTTAATGAAGATTATTTATCTAATGGCAGGGGCTCTGCCATAGCCCTCCTCATGGTCACAACAGTACAATAGCTGATACCAATGCGTGGCCACAAAATTTTTAGTTCTCATGTTGAAAGCTGATCTCCACCATAAACCTGAACTACACTATCAAGACTATGGAAGAAAATACTAAATGATAAATGACAAAAGTAATGAGATTCAGTTTCTTCTTGGCTTGTTTATTACATTCATTTATGGTATTATTCTATGTTGGCAAGTGGACGACTACCAGATACAAATTTCCATGTATTTGATCCTTCTGTCACAGAAAGAAGAGTAAGGTAAAGTAGCAAGTGAATCCTTTGCTGTACATCTGGTACACTGTACTGCACCAAGAACCAGGTTAGCAAGCAGAATAATAGAATAATTGAAAAGAAACTCCCCAAACTTCTCAACCTTGGTGGAATTCTCCTCCTTCCTCAGTGAGCTTGCATTAAGTTATTACAGAGGGAGATGAAGAAACTTGCTAGCTAATACAATGATGCCTTTGCCAGAGGATGATTTATATCAAAAAGCTTGTGTGTATGCATTCCGATCTGGGGCAAGATCTGGGATGAGGAATTTTATATCTAGGTTGCAAAATCCATAACACCACTGCCCAAATGCTGAGCTACACAATGATATTATTGACTGTCAGGAAAAAATACTCAAATGATTTTCTTTTTTTGTTGTTTTGGATGAATGTCTCATGTCTCTGAAGATTTCCCTTGCAAGTCAATCATTAAAGGCCTGGTAACCAATGCAGTGAAAAAGCTAGGCAAAAAGAACTACGAACATGTTTTCCCAAATATGCATACTATTCTTCTTGTGTGCTTGCTGCCTCTGGCCTCAAACTGTACAAATGAAAGCTTGTTTGATTTATGTCAAAAACTATATATAAAATATCACACAGGATCCACAGAGAAACAGAGTCACTCTGGGCTTCGGCTGCATTATCTGTTGAGGAATAACTGACTGCAGCCTTGGAGTATGTAGATCTGATCAAAGTGTTTGCTTCCTCACAAGCAAAGAGAAATGCACTGTACATTTCCTGTTTTATGCTTCAGTGCCAAAACACAATGAAAAAAAGGTTCTAGATGAACATGTGAATTATTCTAAAACATTGTTCAATCAAATTGGATGGCTATGCACATTTGTGAAACTCAGTATTTGAAATGTCAAGTCACTGACAGCAATGTGTCCTCAGGTGTGATGTGCATTTGTGATATTTGCTTTTTAAAGTTATGTATCATCTGCATCAAAACAGGATTTTTCTTAAGTATGTCTGCAATGTAGAAAGGTCATTATTATGGCCACAATATCCAGATTTAGGTTTAAAATAGCCACGACCAGGAAAAGTCAAAGTCAGGAGAGGACTACAAGCCTGTTTTTAATGCATTTTTTGTGTTATTTCTCACTTTTCTTGTAAAACTGTTTGCTGTACCACTGATGCAGAATGATTACTAACTTTAACAGCAGCTGAAGCAATCCCAATTCTGTACAGGATATGCAGCATATAATGCATTAAGGAAAGAAGCACAGTGATAATTGTTTTCACTCTTACACCAGTATCAGCAAATGATAATTTCTTCAGATTTATTGGAATTCAGTGTTCATCTCTCTTCTGTGTTTTCAGAGGCTATTTCTCTGGCCATTTCCAAAACTTGCTTGAATGAAACTGAAGGCAGTTGGCTCTGTTGTTGGATAAGCACTGCTAACGTAGGAGTACTGTCTTCTGAGTGCTAAGAAGACCATTTCCAAATTTTGAGCATCTTCTTCCTTGACAGCAGACGTTAAGACACCGAATGGTTTAGATGTTGCTAAACTGAAAATTTACAGGAGAGTCTTCCAAGAAGAAGTGCTATATAGGGAATAGCAGCGGAACACTGACTTGAGGGACCTGATGGCAGCTTTAACACCGCTTATTTCTGGGAGGTGATACTCAGTAAATACCTAACTCATGTTCGTTTGGTGTTCCGAGCATAATCCTTTCTCCCATCAGGGAGGAAATCCTGTAAGGAAGAGATTGGAGCTTCGGCCATGGAGGAGCTGGCAGATACCTCCTTACTCATATATCTCTCAACAGAAACTGTTGTAAGAAAATGGCTCAGGAGAACAGAATTGAGAAGGCGCTTGGAGATATTCTGATCTCTGTCACAACCAGCAAGATGTACTTTAGGAGCCGGATCAGGAATCTTAGCTGTAGGGGAGCTCAGAGCTATTCTAGTTCAATCAGATTTCACAATTTGCACTAATGAAGAGTGCTGGCAGAAGTTCAAAGCTACTCCAGGTCTCAACTCTCCCTCCACATTACTATAAAAATGACTGCAGAAGTGTTAACTGCAGAGGAGCCAAAAGTTGTTTTGGTTCCAGCCTTTCCCAGCAGGAGTAACCGAGAAAACAGAGTAGGAGTGTTAGCTGTGCTCACGGCGACTTCAGCCTCGTGCGGAACAGCAGAGCCGCTGTTGGGAACACCGCACGAGGGCCGTCCTCCACCACGGCTCCCACAGGCTCAGCCTCCCCTCGCAAAGGCCGCAGACACAGACGCATCCACGTCACGGCTGCAGCAGACTTCAGAATTAGCAATAACCTCCGCTGCTGATAACCTGACAGCTTTGTCTGAGAGGCAGAAGGTATCTGGAGAACGGCTGTGTTCAGCCTGCATTGATTTCTTCAGCCTTTTGTCTGTGTCTGCTTTCTGTCTCGTTTGGAGGTGGTTACTGTTACTACAAGTAGCATGAATCATGTTTCTGTTAAAAAACAGAGCTCCAGTTGTCTTACATAACCCCTGGTAACGGAGCATCTAATAATAGCAAGCCATTTCCAGGTAGGGAATCTGTCTACATCCCAGACCAGACACATACACACACACACATTCATATTGCTCCTTACACCTCACTTCTGGGAAAGAGTGAGTTTTTAACATGCAGTACGACAGTTCTGAGCTGCAGGACCCAATGATTACTATTTTAAAATGATGCTTTTGCATTAACTGCCTTGAGAAGGCAGTCCAATATGTGCAATAGCCCAAGCAGCAAGAAGAAGTGACAAGAAAACCGAACAAAACTGGTTCTGAGAGAGCTTTGAATGGCAAAGACCATGGTTGGTTCCTGACCTCAAAGTTTTATTCCTTGTAGGTGTGAACTGTTCCTCTGTCTCTTGGAGCAGGCCTACATTTTGACAAAGTTATTTCTCTTCATGGTTCTGAGAAGACTTTATTTTTTTTAATCCCTTATTTCTCCCTTGGTAAAATGAAAGAATATATGCAACACCATCATTACTGTCAGGCTAATAGATAAAGCTGTAAAATGCCAAAGAACTCTTCAAATGAAAGTTCTTTAAAAATTTAAAATATTTTATATATCATAGCCCACAAGCAGTCCTCAGAAGGGAGGAGTTTCTAAAGATGAATGTGGTCTCACAAAGTGCTGAACTTCCCGAAGGAGATCAAAGAAAATATTCTCCCCAGTAACATCGCTATTACACTGTGAGAAAATCAACTGTTTGTTCTTTTGCCACATGAGACTAAACTCTAAAGTGAAACTTGTTATCATGTCCAGCAATTTCAGTACCTGAACTCTGGTTAATAACAAACTTATGACTCTTAAAAGGAAGAGAAAAAATGTAAATAGAATGGATCTAGACTGTTTCAATAGGTTTTCCAAAGAAACTGCTTCCTTCTGACCTCTGGCTGTTACACTGGCATGTAAGCTCAGATAATATGGTAATAGATGGATCAAAGCCAGGCATTTGGAAATTTGAATTGATTTGACTCTGGATTTTCAGAACCAGAGTTTAACTTCAGTTCATCTCTTTTTAGAATGTGGGAAATTCTGGTTCATCTCTTTTAACATTGTGGGAATGTAATAAACAGTTAAAAACTTAATCGATGACATAATGAAAAAAGTTTTCCATCACCTCTGATTTCTAAACCTATTATCTTTCTCAGCTCAGATGATCTTTCTTGAAAATTGGTTGAAAGGGAAAACAATAAGACTTAATGACTCTGGTTCTGTGCTTTCTTCTGACTGTGATGTAATTTATAACCAGGTAGTATTGGTGGAATTGTTACTTGTCTGTTACAGGATTTATGAACTAAAACTTCATATTTTGAAAAATCCAGCATTTTTATTATGAGAAGCTCTGGAGCCAAAAATCACTTAATAATGAAGATAAAAATAAGCTAAACCTCCATCATGTTTCGGCTCACAGTTGTTGTACAAGGGTAACTGATTGGCCTGGTGAACAGTTAAAGACTGACTTTTATGGATATCCTTCAACTATATTTGTCTGTAACACTCATATGATCTCAGAGACAGATTTCTGTGGCTGCAACTGAGGGGAAAAAATGGGCTCGTACTTTTATTCATAATCAAGTAAAAGCCTATAGTTCAGTAGCAATAAGCCTACTGTGAAAAGTCCAAAGACCCAACAAGTGAAAAAAAAAAACACAAATCAAACAAGAAACCTGCTGAGTTGTAAACTGTAGTTTATCAGTATCATGCAGTCATGATGAACTGACTGTGTTACCGCCCTAGGGTAAGCGGTTCTTACCTTTTCTGTAGGAAGTCACATTAATTTGCCTTCACTATCTAGCAAACCCCATGTCAAGCAGCAAGTAATTCACATATTGGCCACTCCGTATTATGATGCACTACTCAGAAAGTTGAAGAAAAGAAAGAAATGAATGGAAACCATAGATCACATGTGGGTTGCTGACTTTCAGTACTCCTATTAAAAAATACGGTACTTGCTATCATAGCACAATGTACTAGATGCTAAGTGTTTGGGAACCAACATATTTTGTATGTTTGGATAGTTTTTATTAAAACTCCTTCAGGGAAATGTCTGCAGTGGCCCAGTAAAAGGTTAAACAAAAGTTGGACTTAAGTTTACAAAGCCATCTGAACTGTCTTCAAGTAGACATGAGACATCTATGCATCTGGAAAATGGAGCTTGCAAGTGACTGTTCTTCACCATCTGCTCTCAAGAACATTTTCTGCTTGGGAGTTGCATAAGCAATGGAAAAAAAAAACACACAACCAACTTCCTGTAGCATGTTTTTGGTCACTTGTAATGACGCATTACAAAGTAAACTACCTAAATATGCCCAATTGTGCCTCATTCCAGATGACAACATGTATTATATAAGAGCAGTCCCTGACAGAGAGACATTTATTTTAAAATATCACGACACAAGGAACACCCGGGGTAAATACTCACTGTATGAGAGAACTGGGGACAAGTGAAATGGATGGTTTTGCCTGTGTTTTAAAACTCCAAATCCAGACGAGAAGGTGTATGGGTAAAAAAGAAGACTTTTTTGATTACAAGTTCAAGGGATACAACTTGTTGCATCTCATTGTGTAAAGGGCAGTTTAACTTGTAAAGATTGTCAGCTTTCTGTTGTTACCTAATGTCGCTTTGACACAGTTATAGATTCAAAATTATTCCTATTCCCAAAGCTTTTGAAAAATAGCATTTGTTTAGACTGGCTTTGTCTGCCTATTGGGAAGCCACGTCCTGATTTAATCCCTTATTGTGACATAAATAAAACAATATCCACAGGAATTAGAATAATTTAACCAGTGTAAAAATATCTACCTCTCCAAATGGGTTCTAAGCCTTTAAATTGTCTAAATATGTCTGTGTTTGCCCACTGCTCTTTCAAGTCTAGATTCAATTAATGGAAACGAATGGAAAAGTATGGGGAAAGCCTGTAAGCACAAGAACGGGAAGGGAAGCCGTGAAGGAGAAGGGCGACCGAAGCCTTTTGTGAGAAACAGGCTGGTACTAAAGCAATGCAGTTGCTCTCTGCTTTGGTGGATTTCTGATGCTGATGCTGAGATGAGTTTCCCCTCTACAAGGCAGGCTTGACCAAAGAGTCCACAGCCATTAGGGCAGGATCCCTCAGCACTATAGATCTGCCTCCGTTTGGGCGCAGGTACCTGCTCACATTGCTATCAAATTAGCATGAGTTTTATGTTGCTGCGAGAGAACAGACGACATATAATCTAGCCTGGAGTCAGAGTGATGCAGACAGGTGATATCTGATCTGGCGTAAAGCCTGCCATATAAAGTTAATCCATTTGTTCTGAAAACATCTGAACTGGTGTGTGAATTCATCCTGGATCAACACTTTGTGTTACATGGCTGCACAGTTTCTGCGAGGGTGTGACATCCCCCATCCATGGCGCCATCGAACGATGGCTTCACATCCCAGAGATTCTGCATGACGTGACTCATTGCACACATTGGCAGTGAAAATCTGGGGATACAACACACTCCAGGAGAGACAGACTCCAACGCACCTGGGAGAGAGGGTACCTTGTAAGGAATACAGGGACTCCCTTCCAAATCAGTAGCCCAAGCAGCCTTGAACCTCTGCATTTTCTCACTACCTTCAAAATAGAGTCATCTTGTTTGTTAACACAGGTTTTTCCTAGGTAATGGACCCTGAGGTCTGCAGGGCTAGATCCGCTTCTCAACAAACCTGCCCATTTCTAAGAAAGTATCTCGGGCTGTGACAATAAAGCCTTGAGTTAATGCAAACTGTTTTGTGGTTTCCTCTGCATTAAGCAGGTGCTCAGCTGATGCAGGTCACCCCCGCACAGGAAGGAACATCGATATATTTTCTCTCCTTACAATTCATTAATGACAAAACATGATTCATATTCTCTTTGCTTCGGCGATCACTTCTCTGTGTCCCTTTTCAAGTCAGCCCCTTTTCTGACTCTACCGCCTTAGCTCCAGCCATCCAGAGGACATCATACCAAATTTTGTTCATAATTACACCAGCACATGTCAGGTTTCTGTGGAAGTTACATCCTCATAACTGAGAGCAGAATTTGGCTCTCTGTCTTTCCCGAAGGAAGACTAACGATCAAATAATTTTCTCACATCTCTGTTTGCACTTTCACAGTCTGGTTACATTGATTTGTGTCTCATAAGTAGACGTTTCCTTTGTTGGTTACAAATCAATGTTATAGACCTAGGCTGCCTGCGCATTTTTTTCCTCCCTTCCTGCTGTGTGAAAAACAAAGTGCCGTTTCTTCTTGCTTTATAAATGTGAACTTTTCTTGATGAAGCATAAGAGAGAAAAGCAGATAAAGTTCCATCTCTCCCTCAAAAAAAAAGAAAAAAAGAAAAAAAAAGGGCAGGAAACGCCTGTGCTTAGATTTCTAATTACTGAGATGCTTTACGGTATGATAAACACCTTTATCATTGCAGTCCTGCCACGGCTTTGTTAACCTAGTTATAATCCTCTCCTTCAGCTATCACAAGATTTCCCATAGCAGCCCACTGTGGCAGCACAGACAGCTCTGACTTCATGGGGTGAGTAGGGAAAAAGGAGGCAAAGGTGTCAGTGTGCAGCAGGACTGTGCTGCCACACAAATTGCCCGAAAAGGATGAAAAGAAAAGGATTTGCAATTGAGTACTGAGAGGCAACGATCTTTCTGACTAGAGTATGAAAATACAACAGTGCAGATAGCTGGATATTTTCCTACAGATGGATACACATGACAATAGAAAAGGAGCAGATTGAAAAA